CAGTAACTTACTTTCACGTTGCCCTTGTTAAAGACGGGGTGGAGATTGTGGTTTGCTGGGAAGTGTTTCTTGATTAGGTTGAGGAAGGTTTTAGCGACGTTAGTTTGGACATTTTTGCTGTATGGGGGGTTAAACCAGATGATGTTTCGTTTTCTATCTCTTTTCGTGGGTGTGGTTGTGTTTTTCTTGCAATAGTGAAGGCGTTGGTATATATATGTAATAGCTTTGTGAGAGAATACTTTTTTTTGTTTTCTGTGTGGTATGTTCTGGTGTATATAACCATCAATATTCCAGTCCACTTCGGTGAATAAATGTTAACTATTCTGTGAGTATGTAGTGTTAAATAAAAATATTTTCACAGAGATCTTAAAGTATTATCAACTAAGAAACTATGTAATTTACCGCTAAAGCAAGAAAAGTATATGCACAACTTGATTCCGTTTGGCAAATATTTGCTGTCGTGTCTCGAAAGGCTCTATTTTCCACGGACACTGCGATGTCTAGCTGCATACACACATGAAAAAGAGGGGGAGTGTCAAATATCGTCCTTTCCCATTTGGCTTTGGCCTTCAATTATCCAAAATCTGTACTTACAATTACATCTTTATCTTTTATAGGTTGAACCATCTGAATTAACCCTCAGGGAGTGTTCCCTAAATGAAACTTACTCCTTTACCTTGACGCCAACAATCCCCATTCATAAAGGTGTATTAAAAAATGGCTTAACAATTGGTCTTTGGTTACCAGCTGATATTAGTGTGGACAATGACGAATGTCAAATTACTTTGGAGGGCCTCACAAGTAAAACTGTACGTCTTTTTTCTCACTGCAATGACGTTCCTGGCTCTGGTTCAGAAAAACTGATCTCTCTAAAGGTAGAAAATTCACACAGTGAATTTTGGAACACAGTACCTCACCTACCTGCTATTCGGGTAAGTTAAGTGAGATGCTATTAAAACGTGTAGACAAAGAAAATTGTTTATCATATAAACTAAGGTGTTATTGAGCTTTTTCGCAGACTCACTTTGCGGTTTTTGTTCGGAAATTGTCGATCCTTTCATTTTCATTCGTTAATTAAGTTGACTTTTCTCGTCAGTTAAGGGCTATTGTGGTTGCTTGTAGATATGGAATTTCTCTTCTCGTGTTCAACTCGACATCTTACATCGTTCGTTGCGCTCACCCGTGAGCTTTCGAAAAGAAATTCCACACCTACGCGCGCCCATGTATTATTCTCTATATATCACTGAGAGTTCAACTAGTCTGGACTACTGTGTACAGATATTCTCATATTTAGTTTAAGAAAGCCCATTAGCCATGAGATAAATGTTTGCTGTTGTTCACTTTTTGGGAATTTTGCACAGGTTACTGAAGAATTGTTAAACGGGTTAAGTAATATTTTTTCCTATTACAACTGTTGCCACTGTCAGTGATTAATAAGAAGTATAGTTGGCGGAGGAAGAAGTCAAAGTTTAAATTGCACAAAGTTCCCGTAAGAATAGAACGAATTAATATCCCAACCTGGAAAATAGAAAACATATATATTTTTAATTCAGAGCTGAGGGGGATACCTGTGCATTGTACATGTACATTTATCATCATAAATACTCCCACAGAAATACAGTTAAATAAATATATGTTATTCACCAGCGAGATCCGTATTGGGAGAAACTGTGCCTAAAGTCTTGAGTACCGTCCGAGGCCTGCGACCTACTTAAGACGGAGGGAGCAGTTTTTTTAATTCCATCGGTTTTCTTTGTGCAATTTTCGCTACAAATGTTTTCGAAGACTTCAAATTGCACTTGCACTATCAGCTCGTGCAATTTTGTTGTCTTTTGGAAATTTACTCGTGCTTATTAGCACTAAATTGCCCTCGAAATCATGTTGTTACCCATACAGAATGTATGTAATGATTGAATATGACAAGTTTTGGATGTAAAACCCAAAATTAGTCGCATTTACATACCGTCTCACTTGAAAAATCACAATGTCTTTTTTCCATTACATATTTCTTCCCATAATCACCAATCGATCGCACTACTGACAAAAGTTACAAAGTCTCTTTTTTTTATATAAATGCTCATCACCTAGCAATTGATTTGGATTTTCTAGGCAAGAAAGTTTTATATACATAATAAGTACAATAGGTCCATAGATTTAAAGTTACTGAACGTAACATCATCCACTTCGTATTTTTAGGGAAATCAAATCTTGGAAAGGTTTCAATAATTTTTTTGTCTCCTCAGGTCTCCATGGAAGACGAATCGGACAATATTGGTTTTTGTGAATCGTATATGGATCCACATTACTCTTCATTTTTGTGAGTATCAAGTTAAACTAAGTAGCGTCGAAAATAGACTATGATGGTGTTGAGAGTGTCCGACCAGGTAGTAGGTGATAATGTTCAAATCACCGATTTGTCTTAAGCTTGGCCAAAGTGTTAAGTATCAGAGGTTAACAGTTGCTAAAAAAATGACAGATCATAATATTTCGTTCCTGAGAGATATGATATACCCCTGTGAACCTCCATTTTCCTGTTGCTTGCATAATAAGTTAGCCTACAATTTTCTACATGTGCAATGAATGGAAAAGCCATCTAGATCCCGGAGTACAGCGTGACGTAATGTTTCCTCGTTCAAAAGGCCAAAAAAATTAATTTAAAAAAAAAGAAACAAACAAATAAACGGTAGAACAAAAAAGAAAACAAAAAATAAGAAACAAAAGGTATTTTCTTCTCAGCGAACTACATCACCTTTAGAAACACAAGGATTTTGGTTATCATTGTAAGACCTAGGTGCAACATGTTTTCATTAACAAATAAAAAAGCCATGTTGTGTTGTAAAGCACGCAGAAAGCAGGTAGAGCATGAAAGAAGTGTAGGGAGAAACATGACACTTAGTCGAGTGTTTCCCCTTAATTCTTGAGTAGAGAAGTGCGGGAAATGGTCAAACATAGTAAAATTTGGTAGATGGTGTAACAGCTTTAGCTCTCTTGCTCCATGTTCTATACTCCGAGCACGCGGTTTCAACCAATGACAGCGCGCGTTATATCCGAACTTTATTATAATAATATTTATAACAAGATTCGGATATAAGGACTTCTATCTAGCCTTTTTTTCGTTAATTGAAAATGAAATTTCGGAACAAGCGAGCCGGCAAGTAACAACAGAAGAACCAAACAAAGGTTTTTAAACATGCCAGGCGCCTTAGTTTCCATTATCATGACGTTAACAGAGACGAAAATCCTTTAAGAGAAACGAAGAGGAAAGTCTACGTTTTGAAGGTTTCGCGCTCAGTGAGACTGCAAGCGTACATACGGTAATAAAAATCAAACACAGCTAGCACCCATATAGTATAAAAAGTTTCGTGTTCAAAAACACAACTGAACAAAAGAGGAATTATGAAAAATACAAACTGAATTACTGTTAAAATACATGCTAATCATGATGGTGTCAGAGCGACTGCGTTCATGCTGTGGTCCATCGCGGCTAGCTCATAATGGCGATCTCCGGTCCTCGCAGTGAACATGAAGCAAGCCGAGTGAACAAATAAGAGCTTGCTCGTGATGATGCGTGTCCTTTCCGATGCGTTGAGTGGAAGGCAACATCAGTCACTGCAGCCGAGTTTTATGGCTCTGCCATCCCGAGCAATCTTTATGTTCCGGTGAATTCGGCTGTCGTCCATTCAAAAAACACTCGCCTTGAGCAGTTTGTTTTCTACTTGTAATGTGAAAAAAACTTGCGTGTTTTTATGAGTCGCAATTCGGCTGGATTTCCCTAAACATTTTGCTTTCAGATTCTGTATTCATGCAAAAGTGTTATATTCAACTTGGCGAACTATTTAAGTTTGTTAACTAATGGATCTTTTGAGATACCGGGAGAAGCGTGCTGGAAGGTCGAATAAGCAAAAATCAACGGGAAATGGTCTCAGGATTCCTGTGATTTGTTCTGGTCGTCGCCATTACCGTGTTTCATTAAATATTCAAAATGCCACTTCAACGTTACATATCTGTGAATCACGCCCTTTAGATGTCAATGTGAACAACTTAATTTGTATTCGTCCGGATCCATTGTGGTCTAAGTTATCGACCGTCGTACCTTTGGATTTTTGCCTTTTGAATGCACGATCTATTTGTAACAAGTTTCCGCTGATAAATGATTTCATAGCTGATCAAAATATCGACCTCTTTGCCCTGTCAGCGACGTGGCTTCGTGGTGATGACTTGGATTTATATTATATCAGTGACATTTGTCCAGACGGATATGCTGACAAAACATGTTTCTCTTCGCCAAAATTTTCCACCATGTCCCTAGATTACATAATACTGGTGGCAATTCAACGGGGTTATGCCAATTAACGGTGGCATTGTCATTGTTAAAACTGTCTTTGTTTTCTCCAGACGGATATGTTTTCCACCATGAATAATACTGGTCGAATTTTGGGGGCCACAATATTTCAAAGTTCGATGGATTGTTCTCAAAATTACATAATACTGGTGGCGGGGTCAGCATTGTTCTCAAGAATAATATCAAGGCCAAAATTTAAGCACATGAATCCTATTGCTCTTTCGAACATCTTGAGCTGGAACTCAGGGCTACGAAGTATTTTGTCCGTTTAATTGTCTTGTACCGTCCTCCTTCATCCGATGTGTCACTGTTTTTTGATGAGTTTGCTAGCTATCTTGCCCATATAGTAACGGCATCAGGCTATTTGCTGATTGTTGGTGAGTTCAACTTTCATGTTGATTCTCAAAATAATGCTGGTCGGCGATTTACTGGCCTTTTTCATTCATTTAACCTTTACCAGCATGTAAATGATTCTACGCATAAGAATGGCCATGCTCTTGACCTCGTTATCACTAGAGAGGAACAATCTTTCATCAAGAATCTCTTAGTCTTTGATCCTGCACTTTCTGATCGTTTTATGATCCGCTGTAATCTGGATTTTTGTAAACATGTTGCTCAAGATCAAATGTTATCTCTCCGAAGTTTACGTGCCATTGACATGTATAAGTTCTCCTCTGACCTGGAAGACTCCGCGCTAATTAGATCACCTCTAAATGACGACCTTTCATTAGCTATCGATCAATTCAACTCCACTCTTCAATCTATGATCGACAATCATGCCCCAATCATTCGTAGGTCTGTTTCTCTTCGCCCACATGCGCCATGGTTTACGGATAAATTAAAGTTGCAAAGAGAAAGAGAAGAAAACTGGAAAGACGATGGCGCGCGCATAACACCGAAGCTAATCATCTATTATAAACCGAACATTGTCGTGAGGTGAATGACTTGATTCGTTGTGCCAAATAGAACCACTTTTCATCTATAATTGTAAGCAACCAAGGAGACCAGAAAATATTATTTCAAGCAGTTAATAATTTGTTATATAGGAAACCGATAGTACGTTATCCTTCTGTAGGTTCGGATATGGCTAAAAAAGTTCAAATCATTCTTTATTGACAAGATACGACGTATACGCGATAGTTTACCTGATCATAGTACTGGATTTCCGAATGTCCCCTACTTGGATAACTCTGCAACTCAATCCCGGTCCTGTGAATTTGCGACTTTTCAACGTGTTTCTACCGACCTTATAGCTAGCTTTATTAAATCCTTCAGAGCGAAAACTTGTGCTCGCGATCCGCTACCAGCTTCTGTGCTAACTAAATGTTTACCAAGGTTTCTACTAGTCACAACTGATATTGTCGATCGTTCCTTAGATGAGGCTCTTATGCCGAACTCACTCAAAACTGCCTTGATTATTCCATTGTTAAAGAAGACTTATCTAGATACTTAAGATTTTAAGAATTTTCGTCCTGTTTCTAACCTTCCGTTCGTCTCTAAATTGATTGAGAAATCAGTTGCGGTACAACTTGTGCAGTATATTGATGACAACAACCTTGATGAGAAATTATTATCTGCTTACAAGAAATTGCATAGCACTGAGACTGCCCTTCTTACGTTCTGTGGATCGTGGTTGTACTGTTGTTTTATTACTGCTCGATCTTTCTGCGGCATTTGACACGGTCGACCATGGTTTATTACTTCACAGACTTAATACTCGGTTTGGTATCAAAGGCAAGGTTCTTACTTAGTTTAAGTCTTATCTCACAGACCGAAGTCAATTTCTTAGCATAAATGGATCAAATTCCTCTCATTCTGATCTGATGTTTGGAGTTTCCCAGGGATCAGTTCTAGGTCCGATTTTGTACTTATTGTATACGTCTCCTCTCAGCGACATTATAAGAAGACATAATATGAACTTCCATTTCTATGCAGATGACTGTCAGATTTATTTTCTCTTGACTCGGTTTCATCAGTTACTACTACGAGAATCGAAGCCTGTCTACAAGATATTGGAACTTGGATGTAACAATATGCATGCATACCCTCAGAGTAATCGGTTGAATACCATCGCAGTAAGAGGTTCATACATTTTACCTATTTTGAAGCGATTTCCTTGGTGAAGCAAGAAAAACCGGGGGGTGGTCCATGAACCCCCGGAAATAACCAAAATAGAAACCAGTTTGCGTGGTTGAGTTCGGGGAAGACCCTTCAAACTAGCAAGGTTTCATTGAAATCGGTGAGATGGCATGTAGCACGACTGCCTGGTCCTCTCATTGACATACTCTTAAGAAACCATAAAAGCTGGACAAGGAAAGACAAATGTTTCCCTTAGCGTAGCATTTGTCTTTCCTTTTCTTGCTTTTATAAATATAAAACATGTGAGGGTAAAATGCCATTTAATTTTCAAAAGCCTTTCCTCTAATCCAATAAGAAAAATCCCACGCATTTGTCGAATGGTATGTAAGTTGACGTGACCCTTTTCATTCGGGCGATAATCTCTGGCAACAATCGTGAAAAAGTGTGCGTGAAACGAATCGTTCGGAAAGACCACCGAAGGGATTTTGATTGTTTTCTGATGATAGTGAAGTAACTGCTGCGTCTGCATAGAGGTCGGTAAAAAAGGAAACAAAAAAAAAGACACCAAAATACGTGCCGTCGCTTGGGTAGATATGTCTTCCTTAACAATGACCTCTGTACTCCTTTAAAATTCATCAGTAAGGTATCACTTCATTTGAAGTAAGCCGACACACGTAGCCACCTCATCTATCAAGGCATATTTCATTCTTTTTTACAGGTCTTATTTCACATTTATGGGACACGGAGATTTCATCCTCTATAGCAATGCAGAACGTAACTTTGAGGTAAAAGCGAATTAAAGATTGAATAAATGCAGGAATAGATAAGTAGGCAAATAGATAATTAATATAACGAGTCCTTTGAATCATCTAGTAGCAGGTTATTTCATGAGTTGCTGAGTTTAGCCATGAAGGATAGATACATTTAAGAAAATGTATCGTATCGACTAGAGAACCTGTTCACAGGCATCGTTCTGCCTTTCGACTTACTCTTTTCAGATATCAATATTTTCAAGCTATTAGTTCCCTCGGTAATACAAGATCTCTAAAATTTCTTGTACATTTAACAAGTTGTCATTCTCGAATACAATATCTTGGTACCGGGCATATACTGTATTGGATTAGTCAAGCGGAAGCAGGTCTGGAAGGTACCATACAAACCCTTCCAAACCCTGAAGTTCGCCTCAAAGTGAAAGGTTCAATGTTTTTACGTTGAATTACAGAGACATTGACAGTAGCTTTTCAAAATTGTCAGTTAATAACAGAGGTACAAACATGCATACATACATATATATATATATATATATCTATATATATATATATATATCTATATATATATATATATATCTATATATATATATGTATCCAGTGCAACTTCCGAAAAAACTGTGGATTGCTGAGAGATACACCTGTTAAGAAAACTAGCAGTTAACTGCAGAGTTATATGCAATACATCCTCCTTTACAACACAAAATCATCGCTGCTTCGAAAAAGAATTTGAAATAACGTTGCGTTTACAAATTGGAAAAAAAGCAAAACAAAACACAACAACAAAAACAGGAATATAATGGCAGGTTAAGTCAGCTTCAGAACGTACACCGTACCATGCACATTAATTGGAAACTGATAGTCCTTCGCGCCTGTTGCTTATTTCTTGTCACCACAATTCGCGGACAAGACTCAACCAGATCGAAATAGCAATTCACAGTTGTATTTTCGGCTTTCCATTTTCATATACTGTTTATGAACAGGTGACACTCACTAAGTTTGCTCTAGCAATGCACTTTCATTAAGAAGACGACGATATTTATAAGTTTGTCGTACTTCGATCAAAAAGTAGATAGAGGTGCATTTTAAGATACATGATTCGTCCTCCTTGATGGATTCTCGTGCACCCTATGTTACATAAACTCGTCTATATTTCTGAAAGGGGCTGATTTAAGACAAAGGACTCGGTAAAGTAATTTTAACCCTAAAATGAATGCAACATTTAATACCAACACAATTTCATTTTAATTGGTGAAAATAGATACATACAAGGCAATGGGTCTGTTCAGAACGTGCGGAAACCTGTAACTGCGGGACTGTTATCCGAGATCACAATGATGTTATCGAGTTTAACTGCTGCAATGAAAACCGTTACTTTGATCATGTAACTCCCTTAAGAGTTCAAGTACGCAGCAAAAAAAGACTGGCACCTGGACTATCGATCACGCAAACCATACCAGGATTCTACAGCAGATATAAGGTTAGTTTAAAATCCATGAATCATTATCTGACTGTAATACTTTTTTCCTTTAGCACTCTGGAAGAGTAATGTAAACAGTGTTACTGAATAGCGTACCTTGTTCATTCAATTTATACAGCCATAATTTGAGCTCTGTACCTGAAAGAGTTGCAAAACCTAGGTTTGTGATGTATGGAATGAAAGGTGATGGATGGGTGTCCTTATCAGTGTCATTATAAGCATTTTCATTTCTGTTCACGCCTTCGATACTTCCTTTCTTTTAGTTTGTGACATTGACCACCTGTGAATCAAGATTCTTTTAATGATTTCAAAAGTACATTGTTTGTGAAGCCTTATCGAATATAAAGTATGAGGAGACTCAATCCATCACTTGTGTTTCGTGTATCTCCTATCTTCAAGTTTTTCTGTTGTAATTTCCTCTATTGCAGGTTTTGCTCCCTTCAGGAGGGAAAGTTTATATCTACCGAAATTGGTTTGGGCTAAATGTATTCCTTACGGTTCCCCGGTCAAAACATATTTCCAGTGAAAGTGGCCTATGTCTGTATGATAACGAGCAAAATGTAACAAGTTTTGGGAATGCATTCAGGTGAGCAACCAACTGGCTACTGATTGATTTTTTTTTTTAAAGCGATGGACCTATCTGTACTATATGCATTTACATGGTACCTCATCAAGACACTCATCTGGAGTCAACTGAACCCCCTCTTTTCCCCTTCACCCTCTCCCCTCTTCCCCCCTTCACCCCCTCTTCCCCCCCTCCCCCTTTTCCTAACCGTGGAAATAACCATAAAATAATTATAGGGCCCTTCTAGCCAGCTCATTCATGTATTAACCAATTTGCATCATCTTCTTTCCTTAATTTGATTACTTTTTAAGTGTAGAATTCAGTGATTTAAGATTAATGCTGTGGAAATTTGTACTGTATGAACCTCATGAAGTGATATAGGTAAGCTAGGCATGCGATCATGCTTGTTGCTCCATTGACATAAAGCGCAAATCTGACATTACAGAAACTTTGAGAGAGTTAGTACAAGGTTTTGGCTCTAGAATTTCTGGAATTCTGTGGGTAACCAATGAAGCTATGATCAGTCGATGTTTTATTACTTTAAGCTTATCATAATTGATTACTAAAAGAAAACTAGTCCGTTTTTGTAAAATAAAGGAATTTAATCAATCTAATAACAGGACATGGGAAATAAGGTAGAATAAGTCCATAGAAAATTGTATCTTCAAAGCTGTATCTTCAGCTAACACCTTGGGCACTTTACAATAAAAGTTCCATAACTAACAAACAAAGTATATTTGATCCATCTTGGAAACGATTCAACTTGGTGAAGATTAAGTTATGTTTTCCCATAAAGTTATTTGTTTACGTGTACAGCATTTTGTTAAGTGACAGTGCTCAATACAACCTTCCCTGATAGTTTGCCTCAAAGAACAGTTTGAACAGAGTATGATTTAACCATCACAACTGCAACTTCTTAACCAGAAAAAAAGACGAGTTACTTTTCTTGTAAAATTCTTAAAGTTGTTGAGCATGATAATATTGTTCTTAACCTTTTTCTTTTAAAACAACACCTACTGTGGCGCAAATTAATGTAGGGTGCTCATCGTAATTTTATTGCAAGTTTAGATTTAAACTGCAATTTTGAAAAAGGAAGACTTCTTCTCAAATTTGTAGGTGTAGGAAAAATAAGCTTTAGTGTTTGGGAATCCTCAAGTAGATTTATTGCACATACCATTTTATGTTCCTTTGAAAGCTCAAAAATGAAACTTTTCAGTTGCTCAGG